ATCAGGGACATTATGTGTGTATGTATCAGATGACTTCCTAGCTTCATTAACAATTGTCATGTGTACTCTGATCAAGGACTGCATAAGAAGCAAAAATTGTTGAGATTTCACTTTTGAGGGTCCAGTTATGAACACTTTTCTAAGTGAGGCAGTTTGTCTCATCAAGTGAAAATAAATTCCTTCTCAATCAGAGGCTGGGAAAAGTTAGGGGATGTTACAAGAGGTCAGAATTAAGTCCATTAAATCCCAAACCCAGATTTAGTCGCCATAGAGACAAGGGAGATAAATAAACCAGTAACCTTAACAAATGGGCTGCACCTTTGCCAGACATATCTCTGACTTACCATTATTTTTACTTAAGTATCTTTCAGTCCAAACACAACTGACTCTGAAGACTACAAAACCAAACAGAACTGGGCCCAAAAGAAATACGAACGCTCATTCAAGCAAAGGGCAAGTGAAAGAAGTCAAGAGCTACCCCCCTTAGCAATGTGCTCTCAGTTCCCCTTGAAAAACGATTGCAACATGAGGCGCAGAGGCAATGACATATGGGGAAAATATGTGGTGCCAAAGCCAGAGGAAACCATGTCAAAAAAGAAAAACAGACATGAAGCAACTGACCTAATTAAATGGAAAAAAAAGTACACTTAGAGCAGGGAGACAAGTATATCTAAAATAGGGAGTACAGCAGAAGAGGAGGGGGCCACTGGAAGAAGGCTCACAACTGTAATGGGAGTTTTTGTGGCTTGTCTAGATGAAATCAGCAGATGAGATGGCCATCACTCCTGAATTACAGCTCTACTGAGAGTTTCCTTAAGTGTACAATATATCTTTAGACACAAAGATTCATTCCCTGCCTGGCACTACCACATATCAGCTAAAAGCTCTAAAACAAATAGTTGTACTTTTTTCATGTGGGACACCAAGATGCCTCTCTGCCAACCACGAAACAACTGAAGAGATACAGGAGCTCAGGATGATGGAACAAAACAAACAAGATGGAATTATATCATGAGGACTCCATGTTTTGGTGCCAGGAAGAAGTCCTCATGTTTCATAGTGATTTATTAAGCACCTACTGTATGAGAAATGGGCATATGCTGCTTGCAATATGGAGTTAATTGAAGTCAGTAGAGTGGAAGAGTCTCAGCCTCTAAGTGAGCATGGGGAAATAAACCTACAAACCACAATACCATAACATGAACAAAACCTCAAACAAAGTGATACTTAGATTTGTCCAAACATCTTCCTGTTCTTCTGCACATGTACAGCTCTCTTTGCATGGTTATGATCAGTATCCATACAATTTTGCATCCTGTATTTTCTAGTAAGGCTATACTACACAAATTCTTTCATATTGCTATGCCAGTGTCAATGCTGTAGTTTTTAACATGTTTATGAAATTCCACTTCATAGATGTACCACAATCTACTTAATAAAAAAGTATGTTGAATAAATGAACTATTTCTCTAATATCACACAACTTAAATTCTTTCTAATTCTTGTATCCCTCCAAGAAACATTGTGGTCAGTATCTATTAATATATGACTTTTTTTCTTAGAATAATTTGCTCCTTAGACCACAGAATATCAAAAATAGTATCACTGGATCAAAAGTTAGCAACCTTTGTGACTTTCCCCATTATTGACAAATAGCATTCTGAAAGATTCTGTACCAATTTACAAGGCTATTTACAAGTACATATTCCCTTTCAAAGTATTGAGTTTTCTTTATGTTTTTGTTGACAAAATAAGTGAAAAGCATACTTTATTGATGTATGCATATGCTTGTCTTTGTATACCAATAAGGCCGAACATTATAACATGCATTTATTTACTTTGTGATAGAACTCAGATGTCTTTTAACCCATCTATCTATTGGAAGATTCATTCAGCCAAGAGTTGTGAAGCACCTACCATGTACCAGGCCTATGCTTTGTGTATAAAACAAATTAATCATCTTGTCATACATGCTACAAATTTTTCCTGGTGGGTTCTCTTTTTCATTTTACTTATACCTTTTCTTGCTATATGTTGTAAATACTTGAATCTATCTCTTCCTTTCTTTTTCTATAATTTCATAGTTTAAAAGTTATCATATATTCAGATTTAATAATTGTTTTATTTTCTTTGGTCTTATAACCAAATTTTCTAAGAGCCCCATAAATATATTTTCTATAAGTATAAAATTAAAAGCTCTATTTCCTACTTCATGATTTTTGAGCTTTAATATATCATGTTTTTTACTAGAAACAATTTAATACAAAACTTTAAATAGAAGTTCAATTTCTCTTTTATGTGTGCTATGTTGTATTAAAAAATGTTTTTTACTTACCTTGGTGCAACTAAAATTAAACCCAGATTTGTAAGGAAAGATTCAACCCAAATAGCCTGGCCAAGATCTTCTTCTATTTCTCAGGCCACAGAAAGACAGAGGATTCTAGAACAATCTGGAGGATTCCATACCTGTTGATGCTCCTCTTGACTAGGTGCCATCTGTAGGGAACCCGCCCCCTCTGAAATGTTAATCTTTAACTCTTTTAATGCACCCTGCCAAAATAAACTTCACCCAAAACCATGCACCTGGAAGCTAGCAAGCTGGTATTTTGAGAGAAAGGATGACCTTAAGTTTGCAACCTCAACTTCACCTAGACCTGGAGTGGAAAACTCATATTCTTGTAAGAATAAAACATTTTGATCACAGCAACTGATCTTTTACCCTAGTGTCACAGAGACGGCAGCATGCTCCACCTGATAAAACAGTGGCTATTTGGCTCCTAGTGTAGCCAAACAGGAATTCAGCTCAACGGTGTTGGATCTTCTGATATTTCAAGAGAAGCTTAAAAATTTGGATTCTTTAAAATGTGAAATCTCCCCATTTTGAAATGCTGGCAATTCACATAAAATTTGAAAGAACACTTCTGTGTGCCAGATAGCAGTCCACCAGTTTGAGACAATGGCTTCAGACTGACGATATCCAAACTCTTTAAGCCTGTATAACCCATCTGTGTTGACTTTCCTATCACTCCTCATTTACCAGGAAAGGGCACATCAACATAAATGGCACAAATCGAATCACTATGACTACTGTCTATTAAAATATTGTGTTCTTTGAATATTAAAAATCTGCAAAATCAATAAGAATGACCATATGTCACTGATACAAATATTTGCTAGATGTGAAACATGTGTGTAATTAATTAACAATATTGTCACTAATATGTTATAAACACAGAGTATTCACATTTAGCTCAGGTCATACATGTGACCAGAATTATGCTGTGATCAAGTTTGTGTTCCAAATAATTCATAAACTAAAAGGTAGCCAGATGGAATAACTTTAACTTTTTGAATTATAAAGTTGACCTATTATAAATGCTATTTTAAACTTGAAACAGGACCATTATCATTTTTAAAAAATCCTCCTATGGAAACTCAAAGTGTATTTTCCCAAACTGTTCAATTACTCCAAACAAACTTCTAAAAAAGTAGAGTGTGAAACACACAGCTGACATTTGTTTTCATTTGGGGATATTTGGGTCCTAGGCACAGCTGCATCCCCAGCAATTATCACATACTTTATTATTGGCACATGTTTATTTGGAGGTGGCCTAAGTCACAGGCTAAGAGATCACAATACAGATGAGAAGTTTATGTTGTAACCCTGGATCTGTACTGTATTGTGCTCTTTTAACCTATGACTTAGGGCACTCAGTATCATACAATGTAATGCCAAAACAAAAGCTAAAATATTTTTCAGTTTCCTCATCTGCAAAAGAGAAAACAATTCAGGGACACCCTACACTGGAGGAATGAATAGCAGACCCAAAAGATATCATTTTCACTTCTCTCACCATAAAATTCTTGGCCTGGCACACATAGGGCTGGGTGAATGAAGGAATTAAAAACAAGAAGAGAGAACACAAGATGCTACTGCATAATCATATATATTTCCATCACGGTGAAACAACTTAACAGATTCTATTTAATTGACTCACCTGAGAAACTTATTGTTTTAAAAGAAAACCCAAGGACACCAAGTTTGGGTCACAGTAATGATGTCATTGTAGTATTCTTGATATTGCAAAATCACTTCAAAGATGTGGGGGTTTTTTTGAATCAATTAAAATATTCCATTTAGGATCAGGCACTGTGGTGCAGCAGGTTAATCTGCCACTTGTAACACCAGCATCCCATACCACAGTGCTAGTTCACATTCTGACTGCTCCACTTCTGACCCAGATCCCTGCTAATGTGCTTTGCAAAGCAGCAGAAGGTTGCTCAAGTAATGGAGCCCTTGCCACCTATGTGAGACAAAACTCAGATGGAGTTCTAGCTTCTGGATTCAGAATGGCCCAACCTGGGCTGACTGTTGTGGCCATTTAGAGAGTGAACCCGCAGCAAATGGAAGCGCTCTCTCTCTCTCTCTCTCTCTCTCTCTCTGTGTGTGTGTGTGTCATTGTGCCTTTCAAATAGGAAAGTGAATAACTATTTAACAAAAATTACATGTTAAGAACACAGAATTGTGCACACAGTTTCTAGTGAGGTTTCCTACTGATGGAGTTTGTCAAAGTTGCAGGTTGCTGTGGGATTACTAAGGGCAAAAAACACATGCGAATTGCCGAGTTTCACCTAGCTGGCATTCCCAACTAATTTGATGGAAGCGACATTTTTCCCTTTCTCCTAACTTCTGAAACTATCTAGTCTTTATCTCTGTAGAAAAACTTTAAAAAATGAACTGTAGGAGGGCACAGAACTAAAATCTCTGCTCTTGACATAGAGCACAGTGCTTTCAAGTTGCCCTAGGATGACTCAGAGATGGGTAACAGAGTCACAGTCTCCTACTTGAGCAAAAACAATTCTGCTTTAGTTTTCTCTACTGGGGTTAGAGCTAAGATTTTTTTTTGTTTTAGAAGATATGTGTGTATCGCTTTTTCTAAGTTTGAAAACAGCCATCTTGCGGAAGAGGCTATGAATGACAGGTATAGCAGGGTACAGACCTGAAGACGAAGGTTCCATCTCTGGCAGCTGAGGGGAACTGCTGGACATTTTATCCTCAGACAAGTTTAAAATCTTGGAAGGACTTCCGACTACAGCCATAATTGGTGAAATGGGTAAAATTCAGAAATTCAGATTAAACATTTCTAAACTTAGTCCTTTTTTAGTCTTTAATGTACTTAGGTATTAGAATGAAAATATATATTTAGTATATATATGGTTGAACATATATATTAACATATTAACATTATATATATATATATATATATGGTTGAGTATCCCTAATCCAAAAATATGAAGGTCAAAATGCTCCCAAATCCAAAACTGTTTGGTGCTACCATGATACCACAAGTGAAGAACTGCAAACCCGCCCTCATGTGATGGATCACAGTCAAAACATAGACACAGCAATGGGCATTTAAGCTAAGATCCACGTTAAGATGCCTGTGACCCACAGAGAAACACCTGGGTTCAACACCCAGCTCCAATTCCTGACTCCGTATGCCTAGTAATGTGGACCCTGGCAGAAAGCAGTTGATGGCTCAAGTAATTGGATCCTTTTACCTATTTGGAAGACCTCGACTGAGTTCCTAGCTCCCACTTTTGTCCACAGCCCAGCTCTGGTCATTGAGGGAATTTGGGGAGTGAACTAGTGGATTATTGGATGAGATCTCTGTACATGTCTCCCTGTCTTGCTCCTTTCTCTCTCAAAAATATTTTTAAAAACTGAGGAACACTACAAATATTATATAAAAGTACCTTCAGGGTATGTATATAAGGTGTATATGAAACATAAATGAGTTCCATATTTACACTTGGGTTCCATCCCTAAGATATATCATTATATATATGCAAACATTCCAAAATAAAAAAAAATTCTGAAATCCAAAACACTTCTGGTCTTGAGCATTTCTGGCAAGGGAGAGTCAACTTATATTCTGCAAACTATGGATTTTGAGTAGGTAGATGTAACAAAGGCAACTTGAACCACTCAATGAGTAACTACCCTGAGATATACTTAGCTACACTGAATGTGTTACTGTAGATAAGGGTGTAACTGTATGTAATGCATTACTGTAGGTAATGTGTAACTGTAGGCAAAGGGGGACAGGGGAGTGGAGAAGACAAAATGCAAAAACCTTCTAATGAAGGAAACTGGAAATCTTGACTGGCATACTGCTGGCAAATACCACATCTTCTTTTGTAAATTCACACACTGGGGCATAAAAGAAGAGTGACCATTCGTTCACTATGCCTGGATGAGCCACCTTTTAGATCCTCTCCTTTCATTATTTTCAAACTTGTCAGTCCCTTCTCTCAAAGAGAGAAATGAGGAAGCCTAGGCCATCACAGAGTATAAATAAGGCACTCTGGGTAAACAAAGAGGGCCATATGCCTATCCGATATATGATACATGAAAGGTCTCATCACACCACTCTGGACTTGAGGGCAAATGAGAAAAATCTTTGCTGGCACATATTAATGTAACCCAACAGAAACAGTCTTTGGTGTTTCTAGCAGCAAATTTTCAGTGGCAGTCTTGCACCTTGGCTCCTTCCACCCCAAGCACAAAAACTCCTGATGGCTCATGCAGTCAGCCCATCCTTCTGCTAGTTGTCTGCAAAAGTCTCCTCTCTCCCATCCCACCGTTTTTTCCATGCAGCTTTCCTGCTCCCTACTGTTCATGCTGATACATGAGCAGATCTTTATTTTCCAAGTGGACCTTCTAGCAGTTGTTATGCCTGGCACACTCACCTTTCATGTCCCCAAGTTCAAAGCAAATGAGGTTTTTTTCCCCCTTGAGAAGGCATTCCCCAGAAAGCTAATATTTAGGGTAAGCAAAAATCAATTACAATAAACTCCCTTAAACCTCCTGTACAAATAAAGCTCTTTGTGTAATGCCACCTCTAACACCACAAATTGGAAGGTTGGAGTTCAGCGTAAGATTTCTTGCAATTAATAAAGCTCACCTCACACTGGATGTGTGAAAAATACGATGTCTTCGGCAGGGCTAGATGCAGTTGACAATAACGTCCAATGTGCCTAATTAGGGAAAAAATGAGAATCAAGAAGGAAAGTTAGAAAGAAAAAAAAGTTAACTTCATTTGAAATGGCTCATGGTAACACATCCTACTTAGTATTTACAACCCTTAGAGTTAAAGGAAAACTGCCAAGATGTTCTGCATATTTCTCCAAACGTCTGTTTATCATATAACATTAGCACTGGCAGTGAATCTGGCTCCCTCATTATCAAGCTGTATTAGCTCAAACACTCAGCATTGTTACAGGAGTGAGCTCATGGCCTATTTCAGTTTTAAATTAACATTTGGCAATCACCCGGGTAATCAAAACAAATGACTCAGTCGTTTAGAATAGATTTATTAGTTGAGCCTTTTTTCCCCCTTTAACATCTTTAGAATATTTTGCCACAGGAGGGCTCTGATCCAGCCAGAATGTAGAGCACAAGTCACCAGAGGAATATTTAGTGTTGTTGCCATGGAAACGAGGTGCCAGTGTGACTGCTGAAGTTATCGTCAACCAACAACAGGATTATGATGCAGGCTTGTGGGCAGGCTCATCCCAGCATGGATGGTCTGCAGCACTGGCAAACAGGTGTGCCCAGTGCTGTTCTCCCATCCCTGACACAAATACAGTCTGCCACCACTTGCCACATCCCACAGGCCTGTTCACAGAACCACAAAACCCCTCCATCTCCCCCTTTTCATATTCAGGAAGGACTGGCTGGGGCAAAGGATAACTGTGATCATTGTACCTATCCCAAAAGTGTGAAATCCTGAAACTCACCAAATGTGCTTTTAGATCAACTGTGAAATGTACATGAGCAAAGAAATCTGAGGAAAAGACTTCTCCCTGAGAGGCGGACCCCAACTGTTTTGTCACTGCTCTGTCCTCACACCTTAAAGCTCTCAAGAAGTATTGATGGAAATAAGGCAAATATAAACCAAATATAATAACCAGGCGTGTAACTACCTTCTCCCCCTGTCAACAACCTTCTCCAAACTAGCAATCAAACAAGTAGTGGTTAGATTTTTAAACATACTTGAAAATATACAGAAATCTAGTTAGTTCAATAGGCTAATGGGTTCCTCTATTTAGAGACCTTAGTGACAAGTGTCACAGTTGAAGACAACTCTTCCAAACTTAAAACAGACAAACATGTTGGCTATCTGAACAGGGTTCTTGTTTGCAAGGTCATAAGCTCAGGAGAAGGCAAAGTTGTGCCAGCAGTGAAGAGCAAGCATCCCAAAGTGGATATTTGAAAGAGACTCAATTCAAAGAACACCTTGTAGTCTTCTTCCCACCTATACTTAAGTGCAGACAATATTTTCATATTCTACCATATAAATATGTAAATCTGTTTCATATTAGGACCTGGTTTGTCCTATGGGACTTTAGGTTTCTTGGTGGCAGAGACAAAAATCTCATTCCTTTTCAATCTCCCAATGCTTAGTACAGTATGTATACACAAAGGATTTACTTACTCTCACCACCCGCACTCCACTCTTATGGAACTTACTGTTTCTAGAAGGTGTCACACACTTTCATGAAGCTGCAGCTGGAACGCAGCACTGCACAGATGTTCACAGCAGGGGAGTCAGAGTCAGACTGCCTGCCTTCAACCACTGGCTCTGCCTCTTATTACCTGCACAAGCCTTCTGAGCATCATAATGCTACCTATCTCACAGAGGTACAGACGTGTCAAGCACTTGGCAGTGCCTTGCCATGAAATGTACTTACTCAGTGAATATCAGATATATAATTATTACTACTATAACAGGCAAAGAATCAAAACGTTATCAAACTCGGAAAATGACGTCATAGGCTGCCCAAAATGCTTAGCACCAAATATGTCTGCCCCCTCTTTTGACTCAACCCCAATTTGAACTTCAAACTGCTCCATCACACTTTAGCCTTAATATCCTACTCCATTTTACTCATTCTTCTGGAATTGATTTTTCTACTTTTCGCTCTAGCTGCTTCTCAGCTTCACAAGTTCTACTTGCTGGGGAAGGGGCAGGGAAACTGTCTTCTGGTGACCAGTCCAGAACCTTGGCCATCCCTTTCAGAAGTGCTTGTACTCATGTTCCCTGACACCCTCCAGAGGGCAGAAGAGGGAAAGGCCCAAAGTGCTCACAATGGGCTCCAACTCAGGCCTGCTAGAGCACTCTTCCCTTCATAGTTCTTGCTTTCACTGGCCCGAAAAAAGTCACAGTGAAACGTGATCTCCACTTGTACCTCTGTTTCACCTTATTGTCTGTGCTACTGTGTGTGCCCCACTGAACTGTGGTTAGGTTTGTGAGGATGAAGACACTCAATGGCAGTTGTATCTGACTATGTACTTTTTAATCGGCAGCATATATCTGTCACCCTAACCAGACATAATACAATTGGTGTTGGCAATATTGTGCAAATCAAAGGATAAGAATAGCATCTAGCCACACCTGGAAAACATGTGATGACAGCAAAATACTCCAAAATAAAACCCCAATACTTGAGGGTCGGTCATGCTTTAAAATAAATCGTATTAATATTACTCACCCTGACAGAATTAATAAGTGAAATTAGACAAGCCATTCGTATTATTCCAGAAGAATCCAGTAGTTACTTTTTAATGATATTTAATATACACAATCACTCTCCTCGAGTTTAACAATGCTGACCCTATCCTACTGACAGCCAAGTTTTAAATGATCCCTAAATCACAAATCGATTGGGTGAATTCTGTGGAAAAATAAAATCCAGAGACACTGGCTGCTTGAATAAACTTAAAAGACAAGTTGGATCAAACAAAATGGATGATCTCCACAGATCCATTGTCTCCTGTAAATTCTCTGACTCTTATCACCATGGTAACTGTCCCTTAATGACATCCTTCACAATATTCTCTCCCACCTAAGTTATCAAGGAGTGATGAACCCCAAACATTGTAATTAGATGCACATATGGCAGACCTCTCACTTGTCCTACTTTTTTTTAAACTTTTATTTAATAAATATAAATTTCCAAAGTACAGCTTTTGGATTATAGCAGCTTTTTCTCCCCATAACCTCCCTCCCACCCGCAACCATCCCATCTCCTGCTCCCTCTCCCATCCCATTCACATCAAAATTCATTTTTAATTATCTTTATATACAGAAGATCAATTTAGTATATACTAAGTAAGGTTACTTTTATTCAAATACTTGCATTACTATGGGAGTTAGAAATATTGGTATATACACAATTAAAAGCACATTTTAAATATTACCATAACATTTATTAATAAACACAACTGAGATGGCCACTGGCTCATTTCCCTTAACAGGCTGTTAATCAGGAAAATTATTTATTGGACACAAAGAGTTGAGATGGGGCCAGCACTGTGGCGTACTAGGTTAAGCCTCCACCAAACGCCAGCATCCAAAATGGGTGCTGGTTTGAGTCCAGGCTGCTCTACTTCTGATCTAGCTCTCTGTTATGGCCTGGGAAAGCAGTAGAAGATGGCCTAAGTCCTTGGGCCCCTGCACGCACATGGGAGACCTGGAAGAAGCTCCTGGCTCCTGGCTTCGGATCCGCCCAGCTCCGACCATTTCAGCCATTTGTGGAGTGAACCAATGGATGGAGGACCTCTCTCTCTGTCTCTCCCTCTTTCTGTCTGTAACTCTCAAATAAATTAATTAATTAAAAAAAGAGTTGAGATGAAACATGCCTCATTTTGAATATTTACAACATAAGCAAGATGTGCAACATAATCAGATATATAACATTAATTTAACAAATAAAAACTGAAAGGATATTACTAGTTATAGAAATATAATAAAGTCATTAAGATAATTAAGATTTAATATGGGGGCCAGCATTGTGATGTAGTGCGTTAAGCTGCCATCTGCAATGCCAGCATCCAGATGGGCGTCAGTTCAAGTCCTGGCTGCTCCACTTCTGATCTAGCTCTCTGCTAATGCTCCTGGGAGAGGAACAGAAGATGACCCAAATGGTTGGGCCCATGCAACCCACATGGGAGACCCGAATGAAGCTGTTGGCTCTTGGCTTCAGGCTTGGCCCAGCCCTGGCCATTGCAACCATTTGGGGAGGGAATCAGCAAATGGGAGATCTCTCTCTCTCTCTCTCTCTCCCTCTGTCTCTCTGTGAATCCTGCATTTCAAATTAAATAAAATAAATCTTTTTTTTTTTTTCAAAAAGATTTGGTCTGGGAGATCATTTCTTCAACAAAAGCTTCCACATTTATTTTATATGATAAAATTACAATATTCTTCACAATTTGGAAAGATATAGGATTTATTCTTATCTGGGAAAATATAGGTAAGATATTTTGAAAAGCACCTTGTAGATCTACTACACATTAAGGCTGTGATTAGTCTAGATTTTCCCACAGGCTTTTGCAGCTCCTTGAGAAAACTAGAAAGTGCACAGATTTGCCAAAAGTGTTAGGATAGTGAGCCATTTTTAACTCTGCGTTGGAGTATGTGTAACTCCTTAAAATATTGAATCTGCTTTCGTAGTTTTTTTTTTTTTTCAAAAAAAGATTTATTTTACTTTATTTCAAAGGCACAGAGTTACGGGGGCATAGGGGAAAGGGAGAGAGTCAGAGAGAGAGAGAGAGACAGAATCTTCCATATGCTGATCACTCCCCAAGTGGTTGCAATGGCCAGGGCTGGGCCATGCTGAAGTCAGGAGACAGGAGCTTCCTCCAGGTCTCCCATGTGGGTAGCAGGGGGCCAAGCACATGGGCCATCTTCGGCTGCTTTCTCAGGAGCATTAGCAGGGAGCCGGGAAGTAGAGCATCCAGGACTCAAACCAGCATCCATATGGGATGTCAGCATTGCAGGTGGTAGCTTAACTAGCAACACCATAACGCCAGATTCGGATTTTCAAACTGATAGATTAAAAGGAGTCTTTGCTTTTGGACGTGGCACAACCAATAAACTAACAAAAGGTGGAAGGATTAGCAGTATACTCTAACATGCCCCAAATAAATACCAAGGATCTGTTTCCATGGGTAATTTCTGAATGCACACTTAAAT